AGAGAGAGAGAGAGAGAGAGAGAGAGCAAGCCATTCTATAATTCATCTGGAATCATCATATTTTATCAAATCAGGAAAAACAAAAAAATGAAAACTAAACTAAATAAAATGAATGAATGAATGAATGAAAATTTTACGCTAAATTAATTTCAAACATTTTTTTTTCTCTATCTGTTTTTGTTGTTTGTTTGTTTGTCTTGTTGGATTTTGTTACATAAAATATTGTCTTGAATTTCTCTTTGTGGATATTCTTTGAGTGTTTTTCTTTTCACCAGAATCACCAGCGATAATGATAATGATTTTCGTACGAAAAATGTACATTCATTTTTCCTTTTTTGCTTGACTTTTTCAAGTTTCTGTTATAAGTTTCTGCTATAATTTTTTCTCCAATAATCATTATGATCATAATCATCATCTGCATTCTTTGTTTTCTAATGATATTCAACAACAACAACAACAACAACAACAACAAAAGCAACAACAACAACAAACAGATTTTGTTGAGATATTTTTTTTCATATAACCGGCTAATGATGATGATGATGATTTACAAATGATGATGATTATTATTATGGTAGTGTAAAGGTTAATGAAGCTAATTTTTTTTTCTATTTTTTTCTTGATCGGAAAATTTTCCGGAAAGTTTTTTTCAAAAAAAAATTTCTGAAAAGTTTCCCAAAAAAATTTTTTCAAAATCAATCGATTGATTGATTGAATCAATAAATTTTTCAACCGATAAAGACACTATTCCTCCGCCAAAAATATAATGATAAATAATTGTGAAACAAACCAAAAAACAAACCCAAAATAGCAAAAAGAAAATCCAAAAAAAAGCTGAAAAAAATGAAAATTAAGAAATAATGATGATAATGATGGTTAGAAAAAAGCCATGACTGCCATTTTTTGTTGAATGATTTCAAGGATCGATTCACAAACACACACACACACACACACACTATATATGGGCAAAGACAATGAAAAATGGAAAAGAAGAAGAATTTTCACGATCTCAAGATTATTGAACCAAGATTTTTGTTTTTGTTTTTTTTTTTTTTTGAAAAAATTTATGATAAATGATTGAATCGATTCCCAAATGGGAAAGAAAAAAAATTCAAG